ATGCTTCTCATCCAGGGACCATACGTTGAGTAACAATAGCCTATAAAAGGCAGTTCTGAGGGCCCCACACTTAAAATAATGAGAGCGACTGTTTTGTGGAGCAAAGCAATATCGATAAAGCAACAAGAAAATAGTTACAGCCAGGGCATCCAGGGTACTTTGATGTATTTCCTATGACCAATTTCAAATCACTGTGTTTGGCCTTTGAACTCTCTGCTAATCCTGGTTTCTGTTTTAATCTGTTAAAGTGAAGAAGTAAAAAATAATAATATAGGCTGAAGTGTTTCTGTGGCTTATGTATTTTCTTAGTTTATTGGAGAAAATTTCAAAGATGATTCTATTCCCTCAATATCTTCCTTACATTTGCCTCAGCCTCAGTCTTGTTCTGTTCTAGTCTGTTATTCTAACGTCAATGTGATCACATTAACATAGAAATATGATTGTCTCTCTCAATTGAAAGCCATGCATGGATGAAGTCTGAACTATGTAAGTGGCTCATATGGCCCTGCCTTCCTCTTGAGTTCTTGATGGCCTACATAATCCAGACATACCATATGTGATAGTTTAGGTTTATGTTCAATAAATATCCACATACCCCCCCCCCCCCCAATGAGGGCAGAATGTATCCCTCCATCCCATCGCTTTGGGCTTGGCCATGTAACTTACTTTGGCCAATAGGATGTTAGTGCTCTTAATATGAGCAGGAACTTTAAATGTGCTTGTGTGGTTTGACTTGATTTTTTGCTCCCACAATCTGTCATGAAAAGGACATGCCTGGGTAGCTGTTTGACCTTCAGCATGATGGCCAGAATAAACATTGAAGAATACCTATATATAATCTATATCTTTTATCTATGCCCAGGTTAACCACAGTCTGAAACCAAGATATCCTTCTGAGCACATTGTAGGTCAGCCAAACTATAGGAAGTCTACAGAATCACGAGTATGAGAATAAATGCTTATGGTAGAACGTCACTGACTTTTGAAGTGGCTTGTTACACAGCATTTTTACAGCAATAGCTGACCGATACATTACAAATCTTTCAGTCCTCTGATTTTCCTATCTCCTTTTCTCTCTGGGCTTTTGCACAGATGTAAATTCTGTCTGAGTAACTCTCTTCCCCATCATCCTTCCTGGTTTTGCTACCTTCTACTTATCTTCTTGGTCCCAGCATGGAAGAAACTTCCTCCTATGAAAAGATTTTCAGCTCCCAGATCTGCATAGCACACCTTCCTACATACTTCAGCATCTTGGTGCATTTGCCTAATAGTGTTTCTTATCAATATATAATTGCATAATTTTCTTTCTCTCCCACTTAACTTTAAACTCCCAGAGAGCAGGAACAGTATCTGCTTGGTTAATTTTGGAGCACCAATGCCTAGCACAGTACATACAGGAACATTTTGAAACTCTTGATGAAATTTTATTGAAACAAATCTATTTAGGGTAACAGCAATTCATTGTGTGAGCATATTTATGTTCCGTGATGTCTTTGCTCTTACCTGAGGTTAAAGGCAGTTGATAACTACTAATAGAGAGCAAAGCTGTGAGCTAAAAACCAAAACAAAAAACAAGTAATGCATTTTGAATAATTCCATCCTGTGTGCCTTATACTTGTGTATGAGCTGGGATGGAGGAGAGCTATCAGCTACACTGTAAATTAGGTGGCAGGCTGACTGTGTTGAAGATACTCATATTTCATGACTGTTGAGAGGTGCATTTTGAGCAATGAGGTTCATGGAGACAGGAGTTAATTTAATTCCTGTCAAAAGATGGTAAGGTGAAAATACTGATATGTCCAAGAAAAGAGATGATGGCACCTTTGGAGGAGACAGCAATGGATGGAAGCATCCCATATTTAGTTGGGAGAATCTCAGCTTGTTCCTTGCTCTCAACATCGTGCTGCACCTGCTCTTTGTTCTGGGCCTTGCAGTAATATCTGAGCAAAGGGAATAACATCAACTCTGGTGTGTGAACCAGCGGCATGTTAACTTTTCACTGGAATTTGCGTTGCTATATGATTACGTGATGTATCAAGGCATCTTGGACATTTTCTCTATTCCAGTTTTAGATCTATTTTTTGTGTTGAATTTCTTTCTCTTAAGTCCCTTTCAAGCTGTGACCATACTCATGAAACATGCCAGGTAACCAATAACAACAACAAAAAATCCAAAATTTAAATTTCCTATATTTGTCAAAAATGTCAATGTTACAAAGGACAAAGAAAGACTGAGCAACTGTCCCAGATTAAGATCTAAAGAGAAATAAAACTGAAAACTGTGAATGATGCTTAACTACATCCTATACAAAAAAAATCATCACATGAAGGCCATTACCCGGAAAATTGTTGAAATTATATTATGGATTGTGGATTATATCGAAATATTATATCTAACGTTAAAAATCCTGATTTTAATAACAGCTCAGTAGTTATATTAGAAACCACTTGTGATTTTAGGAAATATTATTAAAGTACTAGAGAATGAAGAATCATGTTTTATCCAACAAATTGTGTAAAAGTTCAGAAAAAATAGAGAATGATAAAATAAATGTAGTAAGATATCAGATATTGATGAATATGGGTAAAGAGTACATAATATTTCCTTGTAGTATTATTGTAACTTTTCTGTAAACCTAAAATTATTACAAAATTTTTAAGAGTTAAATCAAATTACAGGATTTGCTGTCACACAGGGCCTCTTCTAGGGGGCCTCGCGCATTTAGAAATCTCTGACCACAAGGGGGCACTAAACCACACGTTCAAACAATTCCAAACACCAGGGGATCCACCATTAAGATCTTCCATGAACAACTTCAGCAATCAGACTTCTGTTCTACTACCAGAATGTGCTAATTTTTCTCACAAGGGAGACCACTGCAGGACAGTTGTGTGATCCCAGAGTTTATGCTGGAACCACAGAGAACAGATCCAGAAAAGCAGTGGTTCCAGTTTCTGTATGATGGTAGTTCAGGGCCACACTCTGGCTGGGGAGGCAGTAGTGGGTTGGTGTTGAGCTGTGGCCACATGCACTGCTTTTACTTGCAGTGGGCAGTTATTTAGGAGTTCCTTGGGAAGTAATGAGATAATAAGGGGGAAAACCCCCCACAGACCACTGCTTAGTGCTGCCGCTGGTTCACACACCAGAGTTGATGTTATTCCCTTTGCTCAGATATTACTGCAAGGCCCAAAATGAAGAGCAGGTGCGGCACGACGTTGAGAGCAAGGAACAAGCTGAGACCATCTGAAATAGAGTTAGCACCTCAGACGTAATTTCATAAAATGAAACCACTAAAACAAAACATTGCTCCTAAATGAACAATAAAATATCAAATAACTTTAGCTCTCATTTTTTATATATGTAAACACCCCCGCCAAGTAAGACTCTAAAATCTACATGCAAATCTGTTAGTGAGTAATTTACTTTTTTTGTGAAACTGATCCGAAAAATTATTTAGCTCTCAACCTTAACCATTTACTTTCTCTAGGGCCTTTCTGAAAATAAACATTTTCCTTTATAGCACTTGGCCTGTAATTTTAGGAATACATTATATACTAACATAAAAAAGTTCTATGTTGCCTTTATACATCATTCATTTTATTTTTCTTTCAGATGGATGATTTATTTATTCATTCAACATTTACTCAATACTCTAGTAGCAATGTCACTGCCATATCCCCTTGGCCTTCCTGGAGGCTATCTGCAGACTCATTGAACAGTTCCCACTTAAACATCTGGGACCTCTGCCTAAAGGCTTTTGCTTGCTGCTGGCATAGGATGAGGGATAGACCAGAAGTGCTGAGGAGTTAGTGTTCCCTGGAAGAAACATCAACCAATGCGAGGCGAGAACTGGTAGATAAATACCCCAGCTTCTCTTCACCCTTGGTGGGATAATTTTGAAGCAGGTTCCACACAATCTCTCAGAGGGTTCCCTGTGAGGATAAGGTCCAGTTGCACCCAGTAGTAACCTACTCAATTACACAGTTTTTATTGGCTGCTTTCTCTTCATTCTCTAATTTTTCCAACTCCTCACCAGTGTTTCTTGGGATCCAGCCAAAGACATCACTTGAACCAAAGTTCTCATCTCTGTGTATCCAAACCAAGACACCTTCTCTGCCTGAGGCACTGGTCTACACACAGGAGACAGTGGTAACAAGACAGAAAATGTTTCTTCTCTAATGGAGCTTACCTTCTAGTGGAAGCAGCAGAGATGAACCAAATAAAATTCAGAAATACCATATATCAGGAATACTATGGGGTAAATATGTAAAACAGGATAACAGGGATATGGAGAATCTATAGGAAGAGATATTTGAGAAAAATTAGAAAATGGAGAAGGGGGAGCTTTGCCAAGATCTTTGGGAAAGCAGACCAGGTAGAGGATATAGCAAGAGCAAATCCTGAGGCAGAAAGAAGGCGGGGCAATCTGAGGAGCAGAATGTGGTCAGTTTGGCTGGAGAGGAGAAAACAAGGAGGAAAATTATATGAGCTTAGAGACAGAAACGCTAGAAGCACTAATGTATAGCAAAAATTTTATCTTTAATATTTATATTCACATTTTGGTTGGTTTGTATGTTTCTACATACAGTTAGTACAATATTAACTCACTGGGGAATATATACCCATTCATTCAACAAACATTAATAAAGATTTACTAGGCACAGGCACTGTTCTAGAAATGTATAAAACAGAACTAACAAAGTAGAATCACTGTTCTCATTGAGCTGACATTCTAGAGTGTGAGGAAACATAAAAACCCTTTCCATTTATTTTAAATGACTGCTGTTAACTATGATTCTCTAAATCATCTTTTCCTATACCAGTGAAATTTTGGCTCAATTTCATAACTCTTCTAATAAGTTTCAATTATGAGAACATAATACAATCCTGTTTAATATGTCAAATTTAAAACCTATCTGAAGCTCTCTCCTTTCCCCAACTCTTCTAGATTCTAATGCTTCCAGTGAAAAAAGAAAATAGCGAGTCTCTTTACTGACTGGATATAGTTATTTTAATTGTTGGTCAGGGCGTAGCTTTGTTCTTCCTCTCCGTGGATCTGTTTCCATCTGACATAGACGGTCTTCCACTAGATATCTGTGGTTTTCCTGAGGTTATGTTCAGCTTTTCCCTGATCCTTCCATGGAAGAGAAGAGAGAGAGTCACCTAAGTCTTCCTTTGACCCTGCCAGTGGTCCATGCTCCCAACCATTTTCTCACGTTAGGTCTCCCAGTACTTGGCTAAGAGCCCCACACCTCCTTCACTCTATTAACCTCCATGACTCTACACATAGATTTACATTGGAATTGTTAAAGTCCTTGACTTCACTCTGCAAGGGTTAAAGAAAACAAAACTTTTACACAATACTTTCCAAGCCTGCTGTATAGACCACTTTAGAGGAACCCCCCACCTTCAGATTACAAGAATACACTAGACCCTATGTTCAAACACAACTCCCAACTCCAGGGAACCCATGTCAAGAATTTCCATGAACTCTGGCAACATTCTCTACTCCAGTCAGAAAGTTCCTTCAGATTCTAAACCTTGGTGAATATCCATTCTGAGGTGAGATCAGCCTCTCTTTCTTACAGCACCCATGACTTTACAGGTCTCTTGAAGGGCCACAAAATTTGGCCTTAGAGCTCAGGAGATAACGCCTCTCCTCTTGGCTGTGGTTGGAGAATTGTAGCTGATTCTGTAAGTGCCCCAGTCTCGTCCTCTCAGTTATCACCATTCCAGTACACATCAGCAGCATCCTAATGCATGTGGCTGTGACTCTTACCTGAGGGCTTTCAGGCTCATGCAGTGCAGACCAGAAATGCTGAGGAGTTGACATCACTGAGAAATGAGGAAGAGGAGTTGGTGTATAAATACGCCAGCTTTCACATTCCTCAGGTGGGATAACTCTGAGGCACGTTTTACCATGTCTCCTAGTGTTCCCCAGCAGGAGATTCAATTGTTTTCAGTAATAACTTGCACCATAACATATTCTATATTTGATTTCCTTCCCTTTCTCACTCCCTCACTCCTCTACTGAGATTTTCTGGAATCACATCCCAAATAAATCACTTACGTTCAGAATCTGCTTCAAGGAGAACCAAAGCAAGGTGAGAAGGAAAGTCCGAACCGAGCACTTTCCAAAAAACCAAGGGGGGACTGCATGCTTTCCTCATCTGTGACAGATCATTTGGGCTTCATCATGCTCAATGTCTCTTCCAACAGGAGTTTCTACAGCTCTATGAAATTTCTAGAACTCCCATCACAAGCAGTAGAACATCAGAGTGTCCCTTTCCTGTAACATTCCTCCAAGGCTCAATGAGTGGAAGAACTGGGGAATGAAGGGAGCTAGATGTCCTCCCTCTAGCTCCAGTGACTCAACAAAACCAACCGTAGGGACCAGTGGGCAGATGGTCTTTGAAGCATTTCTGATGCCGGGAATGGTTAGGCAAATGCTTTCTGTGCCTTGATTTTTCCTGTAGGACACAGTCTTAATCTTTGACTTCATAGGGTGAGTTAATGTATCCGTGATAAGCAAGGCACCAATTTAGAGACTTAGTTTAAGGAATTATATCAGGAAACAAAGAGACATGTACTAGGATCTTATTTTGCAGCATCCTTTTTGCCCACCAAGACAACAATAGCAATTACTGAGCTGTGCTACCATAGTCTCAACCTTGAAAGGAAATTCAAAAGAGTATCAGTGCCAGTTTTGCCTTCACCTAAAAAGGCAAAGTCAAAAACTCTCTTGATTTAATTGGAGAAGCCCCAAGACGGAGGGCATCTGCTCCTCTCAAGATCAAAGATGCTTGCTTTATTCTGCATCTTCTACTTCATTCTCACAAATTGATTACTTTTTCCTGCCTGTGGAGAGCCTTGGCACATGATCAGCATTTCTGACTCTCAAAGCTGTTCATATTCCTAGTGAATTTTACAGCCAAACTTGCAGACACATTATTCACAGGAATTTCACCTGCCCCTGATGATGTGGAGTATGTGAGCAGTACCCCATGAGCCAAAATCCTTCCTTATTTCCAGAATCATAGCCCATGATTGTACTGATTGGATTTCATATTTAACACTTTTTCTAGTGGAAATTTCCAAATGACTTTGCTTTGGGACTCTGTATTTAACCAAAACAACTAAGCAACCATGATTGTTCTAAGGAAATAGAAAAATGAGAGGGGAGAGCAACTCTTTCAACCAGATGACATGGTGTTTATATTTCCTTTTGGTTTTTGAGTGGCTCATATTCTATGGCCCAGATAGAGGCAAGCTAATATGAAAATATCTCACATGTTCCTAGACACAAGTTAGGAAAAAATACCTTATAGATCTGCTATACCAGGGTCTTCACAAGTACATATTCCAGTTCCAGAAAACAGTGAAACTTAGGCTTTTGGTAAAGAAGCAAATAGGCAAACAAAGACCGCAGACTCAATTATCTATCAGATGGAAAACTGTTTAGGGAGGCAATGGGAAGAAGGAAACTAGTGTTTTATTCTTCTGTTATTCTTATGGAGGCCCTCACGTAAAAACTCTCCCACTGGCTATGACCTACACCCTTCAGCCTAATTGTGACATTAGAGCTAGAGCCCTCATTCACCATATCCTCAATTAACACTTCCCATAGTCACAGTTTCCCCTGCTGTTGGTGCCAGCGTCCTCTTCATGCTCCCCAAAGCCTTCAAGTTCCTGATTAAAAAATAAGAGGGACAAGTCTACTAGACGTTTTGCACTGAACTTCACATTGTTCATGTTGGATCCATAGGCATCAAAGCCTGGTCTTCCTGCTCTCACCTGATCACAGATCTGCATCGTGGCAACAGCACCTGAAGCAGGACAGATTAAGGTCCAGAGAGCCTGTAGGCAGAGCCCTGTTTCTAACACTGTCATCGTAGGTGCGTCTTTATCAGGACCTGACCTATGCAACAGTGTCCTTGGGCCCAGAAATGGCTCCAAGCTACAAACATCAGGATGTGAAGGTAGAATACAGTTGGTTTTCACTAAACTTGATGTTATTCTTCCCCCAGGGACAAATTCTTTTTTAATTCTGAGCAGCCCAACCCGAAATTAGTCATTTAGGATCATATCAGACAGGAAATAGAATCTACCCTGTGAGTTTTGGCAAGCTCTGGGGTCTTGACCCTGGGTGATGCATGGATGCCCTACTGGAACCCCCTGGGCTTGGAGAAGGCCACCTCACAGATCAGGCTATGACCCCTCTGAAAGTAGGGCAAAGTCTGGGTAGCTGGCAACAGCTGTGTTGGAGTGCTTCCTTGCATGGAGAAACAGGAAAAGGAAACAGAGGACACTCTGATAGAGCTATTTAGGTGGAAGGGGTAGGCTCATTACCAAGAATATGTCACGCACAGCAAATAACCTCAGTCATCAAACAAACAATAGAGCTGAGTAGAGAGCAATGTAATGTGTATCAATAGCATGAAACAAAAGAGCCATAAGCCGAGGGAAACAGACGCTTGTGTTGACATCCAACAGAGAAGGCAGCTGATAAGCCACCACTTTGGCATTTTGGTAGATGCTGCTGTTATTAGTATTCCGGTTACCTTTGTCTGTCCTTGGTCAAAGAGTGAACACTGTCCAGATTGTGACCCTATGGCAATTGGAAATTCCAGAACAGAATTGGGGCAATCAACATGCTGTCTAAGCTCTTGTGTTAAACTGATGCTCCCAGTGAGAAGGAGCTACATGGGAAACTCACTGACAGTGCCTCAGCTTTGCTAATGGTTTGGATTAGAGAGTACCCCTCATGGATGCTCCATACCTTCATCCCAATGACAGACACCCCTTGTGGATGCTCCATAGCTTCAACCCATTGACAGACACCCCTGCTGGATGCTCCATACCTTCATCCCATTGACAGACACTGATTTGGGTTTGGGGATGGCTCAGGAGGGAAAAAAAAAACAAAACAATTAAAGGTATTCTTTCTGTGGGGTAATTCTTGCTGTTCGCTAAATGAATTAATAGAAAGCAGAGGGCTGATGTTAACTTTGGTTAAAAGAATTAATTATGTTAAAGTACTTTAACAGCTCTTATTGTGATGTGTTCTTATTCATTCTTATCTGTTTTCCATAAAGAATCACCTTTAAATCAATACTTCAATGTCCTAAGTTTATTTTATACTTGAAACAACATTAAACTGTCCTTCTAAAGCAAATTGTCCATAAGTCAGACGTTACTCTGCCTCGGTGTAACAGGATTTTATCAGAGACTGACGACTCAGAGGGACACTGGCTATTTTAGGATCCACCTCCCAGCACACTAATCAGAATGCTCCAGTCTTGACAAGTATAAAATTTATCAAAAAGTGGGCTACTGCCTCCCTTTCTTGTCGGCAATTTAAGGTGAGTCCACTCCCCACTGTTCTGTGTTCTGACAGAAAAAAAAAATTACCAGCAACTATCTCTGGGTGAGGCACCTCAGTGTTTCAGGATTAGAGAGTTATAGAAAATAAGAATCAAATTCATTAAATATTTGCTCCACTGTATAAAGCCTGCTATCAATCAGTCCTAAAGCAAAGAAGTAATATTTGAGGTTATATGGAAAGTAAATACTAACCACCATGCGAAGGAGCTTCCGTTTCCACACAGGCTCAAAAGGGGATCCAGATGATCTGATGTTATTGCTCAGATTGTCTTTGCAAGATTGCAACTAATAACTATGATTATATTAAAAAAACAAACCCTTGTCGGAAAATGACATGAACGCATGCCCCCGTGACTTGACATCATTGCCTTCTATGCTCCACTCCTGGGAGCCACTTCTTTTTTAAGGTCTCTTGGTAAGAAAATCTATACTTCTCCATAAAGGCCCACATTTTATTAAATGAATACATTTTCTTTGATGAAATAATCATGTTGTTTTCCAGATAGGCACTTTAATTTTTTTAAGTGAGTAAACATTCTGCAGCCTTCCTCATTGCCCCTATTCTTTTATTCTCGTCACCCCTTCAAAATAACTGTCAAACACTGCAAACTACAAAGGTAGTATTTTCCCCGCTGCTAAAGAGCCTGCCTTTTTGGTTTATAGCTGGTAATAGTACATTTTGTATGAGATTCTACAAAAACATTTATAAAACTTTCAGATCCAGAGACTTCTGTTTCTCTACCTCTACAATGAGATGGGTTCACTGGACTGATGAGCACTTAGTTAAGATCACGTTCAAGTCTTACACTGTAAAAATGATCTCTGGCAAGACAAAGACCTACTCTGTCTTCCAATCATGATGCATAATCTTGCAAATCTAACCCAAGAGGGAAGAAGAATTCTTCAAAAAATTTAATTCCACCACCTTACTCAGCAAAGCTCTCCAGTTACCTCATCAAGGAGCCCACCTTTGAGCTGATGTTTTCTATGCACGGTTTTTGTTAGGTCATTAGAGATGGAGATGGAAAACAAATGGTACTATTTAGAAATTTCTCTTAAAAATGCAAACCCTAAATTTCAGAAAGACTAGGTGAATGTCTCAAGTTCACACAGCTAGGGAGCAGCAGAGCTGGGACTTATGACTACACGTCTACTTACTTCTTAATGAACGATGCATTGAATCCCTATGTCATGGTAGGCACTGTACATAGCGGTAGGAGTCCCAGGAATGGAGAAGACAAGATCCTGCTCTTAATGAATCGTGGTAAAGGTGAAGGGACTTAAAGCAACAACAAAATAATGGGCAATTGTCATTGAGTGTAAGTGTCTTAAAAGTGTATTGGAATAGGTGACCCCAATGTGCAGAGGCTCACCTTAGAGGTAGCACCTAAGATGGCCTGTGAGAGTCAGAAAAGACTTCTCAGAGCGGGTAACATCTGAGCTGAGTCCTGAAGGAAGAATAGAATTTAAGGAGCTGACGATAAGGACTCCAGGCAGAGAGCACACAAGTCTAAGGGCACCTGAGGCCATGGCAGGCCTGGTAGAGAAGAGCAATGCCAGCAGGTGGCCACAGGTGGCTAACTGTGTGCACAGGGTGAGGGGGCTAGCAAGCAATACAGCCGGACATGTAGACACAGCTTCTACCATGAGTGGTCCTGTGTGCCAGATGTACTGAAACACTTTGCATTCCCTAGACACAACTAACCTCTGCCCACATCTGGTACCTCTCTCCTTTCATATCTGTGGCCTTGATGAGGGGGTTGGAAGCAATGGGTACATTCCAGAAATATTAAAGGCAAATTTTCCAGGCCTGGGTAAATGATTAGATGGGAGAAATGAGGACTGGAAGGGTGTAATTGACAAATCAGAGCAGATACAGAAAGGTGACAACTCTTTGCTTCCCCACCCACTTCAGTTTTCTCATTGAAGTGAGTGAGGAACTCCCCTGTGGGTTAGCTAGGGTGCTGGAAGAGAATGGAGAAGGCTGAAGTAGCTAATTTGGGGCATGGTAGGGAGAGCTGAGTGTAGAAACAATAACACTAAGCAGTCTAACTAATATGGAAGCTATGAATATAACTCCTGACTCAGTATTTCAGGGGGAGGTCATCTGGATTCACCCAGGTTGAGTACATAGGACACACTGCAGCCAAGACCAATGTTCATGCCCCTACATGAGGAATTGGCCAACCTCTGTGCTAGACCATGAAGGTAATAACAGTTGCACCATCTATTCACAGAGTGGTGGGGAAATTGAGAGTGCCACTGTTCAATGGGGAGTATTTTCATTTGTTTATTTGTTTAACAAGATGATAGACACCAGCTACAAAACTCAGGTCCCCCACTCACGTTCTGGAAACCAATCCCAAATTACTTCACTGCACCATGTGTAGGAATAATTCCTGGAACAGTCTTTTCAAGAGACATGGCTTCCTCTTAAATGAACAAGGACTGCAAACGAGAGAATTTTTACTCAGCAGAGTGACAGGAAAAGTCGTGTACATTTTCCCAGAAAGTTCTAGCTACAGCACAGACTTCTGGGAGCAAATCAGTGACTGGCATCCTTCTTGGTGGTTTTTGCAGTGTTCATGCAAATGAAGCTCGAACAGTGACTGTTGCGGGGCTTCTAATCAACAAAGTGATATGCCAGTAATTAGGTTTCAACTGACTCAGATCCCATTCTAAGCATTAATTGGGGGAATATATGCAGATTGCTGGTTAATAATAGAACAGTTTTCGTTCCATAGTCAGTTTCTTCCTGTTCATCAATTTGTTTGATTGCTTGTGTGACAAACAGTTGATCTTCCCTGTATGTGTTTAGCTATTTGAGACTTTTTTGTAAGCAGCCATTTATTAATTAGAGGTGTCTTTAAAGCACAAGGGTAGCTCCTTATGGCCTATCCAAGATTATTTTGAAAACTGGAAGCTTTCAGGGGTGACATGGTGCTTTCAGAGAATATGAGAGTGAGAGAGAGGAGAATAATGTGTGACTTCCACCTGTGTGAGGGGAAGGGGGAGGCAAGACTCAAATTCTTGAAATAAATAGGTATTAAAGATTCAGAGCATAATGTACCCTACTATTTACTCACTTTTAGATAAAATCACCTGCCTAGTCAGGTTACAGAAATTTCTATCCACCCTCAAAACACACACACCCCTTCTTTCCATGTTTTTAGTTCTGATCAGTGTTACTTAATGAGTTTTTCTCTTCTTTCTGGCACATTCCCTTTCCAAGAGAGTTCAAACAGGCCTTTGCACCTTCCTGGAATTGCATGATGTGATCTATTAAAATTCCTAGCATAAATGTAGTCCATTTTTGTGCCTGGCTCTGTGCTAAGGGATACGTATACAGTAGGTACATGACAAGTTCATGAACAATTCACAGAAAATGTGGGAATAAAAACTATTCACGGTTCACAGTCTAAACCAAGGGTCACAAAGTCCACTGCCTATGGTGACAGGAAGGAGAGAAACAGACTGAGTGTCAAAGAGTAGAAAGTAAAATAATAGGATGAAGGACAGCAGTGGGTCTCAAATTTATATATGCTTCAGAATCATTGGGACCCCCGGATAGATCATGGGGTCCAGGCCCAGAGCCCACCTTAAAGATTTTCCTTCAGTAGGTCTGGGTGGACCAGGAATTTGCCTTCCTACAAGTTTCAGGAGATCCTGATGCTACTGGTCCTGGACCACCGTTCGAGTAGAGCTAAATTAGAGAACATATGCTTTACAAAAGCATTCAGTTTACAAAACTAAAAATTTTATACGAAACGCAGTTCTGATACATACATGCACTCACAGTATCTGCAGGAAAGATTAGATCCATTAGCTTCCTGTTTACAAATACTGATATAAACAAAATTAGGCAGAGGAGTTATGAAGAACGAGGCAGAGAGCCTAAGGCAAATCAATGTTACTTTGGAACTGTCTTCCTTCACCATTTCCTTGGTTCCCAGGGAAGCCCCATTGAGAGATTCAAGAGTTGGTGCTATCAAGCCTGTATCAGAAAGGACTTGGGCAAGGAATATTTTGAAACCCTCTGCACTCCCCAGTATTTTTACAAAGATGACATTAAGTCAAGCCAACCATTCATCATAAACAAAGAAAGGTCAGCGGAAAGTTGCCAAAGGTAAATTTCAGGGACTTAAAAAAGAGTGGATGAGAGGAGTCCGTCTATGCCTGGAAATGAGAGGACAAAAAGACTAATTCTGGCAGAATCACCTATTCCTTGGGAAATATATTTTGATTTCTTAAAGCCACAGTTGCCATATCAAATGTGTGTTATGACCAGGTATTGTAATAAGAAGATTATGTCATTTAACCCTCCCAATAACCAAATAATGTAATCATTACCACTATTTCTACTTTATAGAGGGGAAAATTGAGGTTTAAGGAGGTAAAGAAGTTTGCTTTAAATAAAAAAAAATAGCATGTGACATAGCTCCCTTTTCCATCATCTCAAGTATTCAACCACTTTGTTACAGTTCTTCCTTGCCTCATATGTTTACAATGATCTTGAGATTTCTTCGCAGCATCTCTTCCCCCTGCCTCATTTTCCATCTTCTAGGAACATGACAGTCCTCACAAAACAGGCTTAAGAGTGAGGGGCTCTATTAACTGTATCCTGGGGAAAATCTATACACTAGCTAAAGTTTTCCAGTACAAGGCAAGTGCCCCAGGAGTGAAGATGGTGCTATAAGAAGAGCTAGTGCAGGTCGTGGGATACTTGCATTTTATTAAAACATATATGGGCTATACAGGTTTGAGATATAACTCTCATTCATGTTTCATGAATATTGGTTTCCCTGAAAATCTTTGTTTCTATGCTCAGAACAGCATTGTGTCCCTTAGGATATAGTCGACCACAAGTAATGTTAAACTTGACCAAAAGTGGCTTAAAACAAGAAGTCAGGAGGTGGAAAAAAAGACTTCTAGAGATGGATGATACAAGGCTGATTGAGTAGCTCAGTGATGCCATCCAGGACCCAGATTCTTTTTAACTTTCAATGCACCCCTAACCCATAGTTGCCACTTCTTAGGCTCTCGCCACGTGCTTGCAAGATGTCTGCCATAGCACCTCCTTACCACAGGATGCCAAGAAGGAAGGAAGAACTGTGTTGGGAAAAAGAGACTGTCTTTTTATCTTGGGGTAGAATCTTTCCTGGATGTCCTCCTATGTTGGTAGTTTCAGTGGACAGGAAAGAGGTAGAAACCAAGGCTGGCTCCGATCAATCAAGATTCATTTCCTAGGTTTGGGCACACAGTTGATCTGGAAATCTGCATTATGGTACAGGGATGAAGGAAGGAATGACTGTAGGCAGAAGTGCCACTGCGTTTACCTCCGTCACTGTTTTTGCCCAATATCAAGCCCTTTCCCACATAGGGTCCCTGTTTGAGGGCTGTAGAGAATATATTAAATAGGACAGCACTTGCCTTCTAGGGGTTCACAATTTAATCGAAATCCAAAGGGCGCTGCAGAGATCAAATGCAAGTGATGATGGAGGAGACCAGAAATCAGAATTAAGGGAAAGTAAAAAAAAAAAAACAAAAAACCCTGCATATATGATAGAGGGAAAATTCCTTAATCCATCTTCCCAGATTTCATCTTGTAACAAATGCTAATTCGTGAGAAGGCTTTGATTTGTCAGATTAATATCTGATAGCAGAATCAGAATGTGAGTAAGCCACACATTTGCATCTGTTTTAATTTTTGAGAGTTGCTTTACTGAATGAGAGAAAGAACTTAATTTAATTCTGTCTCCCAAAATTATTATGAGTGACTTACAATGAGTATTGCATCATTGGATATTAATAATGGTTTCTTTAAAGTAGACCTGCAGCCTGGATCTTTATTGAATTCCCTTCCAGTGCTATTCAAAGTTATTGAGAACGTCTGCTTAAGATAAAAGGATGTTCCTGAGTGATTGCTTATGTGCCGCACAGATTCTCTGATTTGAAGTAGCTGGATTTAATTTGCAATCTATACTGCTATTCCCGTTACATTCCCCGCTGCTTCTCTGGTTATGGGGCTCTTGATGACCTTCTTAGGCACTTCTATTCTCCATTATTTTAGGAAGTTTGCAAAATTCATGACTAAGGAAAAGTAATTTTTCCAACCTATCTCTTTTGGCCCGAATAGAGTCCATTTCAGGCCATTGGGTTCATTTATACTCCTAGCCAGACATCCAACCTGCATTGCCTATTAAGACAATTCATTTAAAACTCTTAGTTTTAAAGAGTGTTGGCAACTGGCAGAGAGTGTGTGGAAGTTCTAAATAGATGCTAGTTGCTATTAATTTTAGTGTTAAGATTCTTACTACCCCCAGACCTTTACTCGGGTACTCACATGGTTAGTATGCAGACCCTGAAGCCAGCCTATCTGGAGCCTTATCCTGTCTCCACCACTTACAGGCATCTTGGACAAGGTCTTTCATCTCTTTGCACTTCATTTTTCCCCTCTGTAAAATGGAGATAACAAAACTTTATGTTCATTTTCATTTTTTAAGGATTAGGTGAAAGAATATATCTAAGACACTTATCTTAGATGTGTTAGCTACTTCCTAATGCTACAACTTCTACCACTACTTCTTGTCAATGCTCCTGCCCCACGGAAGCTGCTACTAATAGTACTACTTCTACTAAGGCTACTTTATATCAATCATACTTTTGTTGGGCATCTATTTCCATCTTTTCCATCAACCTATATTCTCTCCATAACCCAAAAGTCCTTAAAGTTTGTATAACAAATTACCCCAAATACTTAGTGGTGTAAAACAAGATATTAACATTTTAATGATTCTAAGGATCAGGAATTTGGGCAGAGCACTGTTAGGACAGCTCATCTCTGCTCAGTGAGGTCTGAGTCCTGAGCTGGAAGACTAGAAGTCTGGCTCTAGGGATCATCAGCTGGGGCAGCCCAAGGCTAGGGCTGGAATCATCCAGGCACGGGGACTGAGAAGACTCAAACAACAGAGGGCTGGAACAGCTGGAGCTCTTTGGGCATCTACCTCCAAATTTACCATCTCCCTAAATGGTCGCTTCAGTATGGTGGCCTCAGGCAGGTGGGCTTTTTACATGACAGCATGGGGATTCCAAAGTGCACATCCCAAGAGGGAAAGAGCAAAGCAGAAACTAGATTGCCTTTTACGAACTTGCTTAAGTCATACAGCATCAATTCTGTCATAGTCACAGGCCCATCCATTTTAAGGAGGGGGATCATGGTTCCTATCTCTCCAAGGAGGAGTGTTAATGTCTCACTGTAAAGAGAGCATGTGAGATGCGAGACATAATGTGGGCAGAGTGTGGACATAGCTGTGGACGTTTTTGGAAACTAAAATCTGCTGTGCCCCAACCAATCCCCCATAAATCTTTAAATTAAATCTTTAATATGAAGAACAATCTCTGTTTCCCTTTGAAGATCTCCTTGTTTCTCTCACATGGTACATTCTTTTAGGGAAAAGAGTGGCTTTCCCTTAATTGTTGGTCTCTTAGCCAGGCCAGCCCTCAAAGAGAAGAGAGGCTATATTTTCTGGAGTGTGTCTCACGGGGCCTAACCTGAGTTGAGAACACTGGAGGAGCTCAGTGTTACTTGCTGGTCACTTGGTGGCCGATTTTTTCTGCTTAATGACTCATAGATGCTCACTTTTCTGTTTGAAAGTTACATCCTTAAACAGAGTCCTTATCTTCCTCATTAACTGGATTTTAGCTCTAGCTCATGGGAGTCTAGTTTTCTCGAATTTCCTTTCTATCATCCATCTGGTATACTCATCTGACATTTTCATCAAATTATTCCTAATCCCACAAATGGCTCCTAATTATCTATTATGTACAACCCAGATGTCTTAGCCTCCTTGGAAGAGGATCCATTTACTCACTTGCCCCTCTTTCTTATCAGCCAAGACTCTCGTTACTTCTCATTAAGATTTTCTACAACCACTTTTCTCATGTTATTCCCACTATACTGCCCCACCTGGTTTCCCCTTTTACATTTTCAAGTTCTTTGTCACTTTTAAATCAGGTTAAAAGCTCTTACTGTCCTGAAGAAATCCTTTCATTTATTCACACATTTATTGACACTAACAACACTAACAAAACACACATACATACACATAGAGAGAACTTGCAAAATTACTTTATGAGGTATCTTTAAATTATTGAAATGTTGCATTGTAACTGGGGTTATATTGCCTGTAGATACTCATCCTGTTCATAGGATTCTTGATTCCTAATGTGATTTTGGTATTTTCATGCTACAAGCACCTCAGATTGCATCCTATCTTGTGTATCACTTATATTTATTGCCCAATGGATAACTGCCTGACAAAGAACCTGGGTTATGAATGGGCAGTACTAAAAACAGATACACATCCCCAAAAAAACTGATATAAATATTTTACCAGAGGAGAGAACCAGAACTTGGTTGAATCATAAACCTCTAGAAGAAAAATACGTGATATTTGGAAATACCACTGTAGCAAAAAGAACTGCTGTCATCTCTCAGAGAACTTGGCTGTGTATTGGTCCCCTCCCTGTTCTTTATACTGCCCTACTTTGTGTGTCTGACAAGGGCTAAAGGTGTGTATTTTTTTGCTTGGTTTTAAAGAGGAAACTGAGGAAGCGTTCATGGGAAGAGGAGGCATGATGGGTCTTGATAACAGCTGTGTGGGTAGAGTTGGTTGCCTGTCCTTGGATTTGGCCGTGCCACCTGCCTTGAGTCACTGGAATCACTTCTCATCATGCTGTGGCTCAGCCCCCAGTTTTGTAGTAGACTTCGGAGTAGGATCAGTGTGCTTCCATGAAGGTGGGTGTGAAGTCTTTGTAATGTATTAATGTGGCTAGGCCAAACTACACTTTCCAGAATTCCCTTCCTCTATGTTTCTGGTTAAGATAGGCTACCAGAGATATTTCCATAGGAGATTAAAAGGCTGGAGGTGATGCATAAGCTGTATGCTTTTACTTTTGGAAAACTGAAGAGGATGCTTTCTTCCTTCACACACCTTGTCATTAATCTACCAGTTCACCTCGTTGCTGTGGGGCAGCAGCCAGGCCTGCAACTGCCCCACTTTCCCCTGGATTTTCCTTCAAATTCTCTGACTCTTGGGCCAAGTGTGTCTTTAGCTCATGACAAAGAGTTCCAGCTTCTGCAGGACACTCACAGCACCAAAGTGAGAGGCAATTAAACTGCCAAGACTTCCAGTCCCTTCCTGTGGGCTCTTGCTTCTCCTTGGTCTCCCCCACTTTCCTTCCATCTTCCTTTCCGAACTGCCTGCCCTGGGGACTTCAAGTTTCAGCATCAAATGTAGAAACAACAGTCTTACGGAGGCTGTATAATGAGCTGCCGCATGAGTTGTTACAGATCAAATCCCTGTAACAAATCCATATATATATGGATACACATAATCCGAGTGGTTCTGCTTCTTGGGTTAAACCCTGACTGATACAGTGGGTTTTAAGTATTATTTTTCATAAAATGGACAACACACCAAGTTTCAAGAATAATGTGTTCTTTCTACACAGGTGGAGGAAAGAGGATGTAGTTTGGGACTTGGGTCAAGTGTTGAGGGCTCTAGACATCCAGGTCATAGGTCACTCTTTCAAAACATTCCACCTCTCTCTATCTCTCTGTGAAAAGAAAAAAAAGATCCAAGCTAAGCCAAGCATTTTACTAAACCATGGTGATTCTCTTTACATTTGATCTTCGGAGATGAAACTATTTTTCACTGGATTTTTTTCCCCTGAAGAAATTCACTCTTTGCAGCCATTCCCCTCATATGAGAGATGCCTTCCCAAACTCTGTTCTACTCCTTCTCATATCAAACTGCATATCAAAGAGGCCCCGTCCATGTATTTATTTGTTCGACTTTGCTTTGAATTGAAAGTTTTTCAGTTTAAAAATAATTTTCCTGCACTGCACCCCAAACAAACAAATCAATCTCAGCCTCTGAGAGAAGCAGGGAAGGTTTTACTAAGCTGGTGGCCCTGCGAGCAAAGCCTTATGTGTTGTGGGGATGCTAAATTCTACATTGTTTCCCATATAAAAGAACATTGCAGAAAAGCTTAACAATAAATCCACTAGCTTTCCACATCTATTTATGGTTTGCAGTAACAGTAAAGGCAGTCAGGCAAAGGTGAACTTTCTTTGTCACCTTCCCGTCCCATGGCTGGTGGATGGAGAACCATTTACAGAGGCCTCCTGCCAGAATTTCCTTACATATGTTAAATTCATGTGGTCTTTGACTCCCACAGATTTCGAGTAATCATTTACTTCTATCATGTTAGCCAAGCATCAGCTATTTCTACCTGTGTCGTGGTAGTGAACTGCATGTGCATCCCACCTCCATTAAATTTGTTGTTTGGAGTCACTCATCTATATGGGATGAAACACACACAGGATGGAGTTGTATTTGTGTGTGTTTGTGTGTGTTTCTTATTTGTGTGTTCCTTTTGCTTCCATTTCTTGGAGCTGATACAGCTATAACAGCAATCACTTTGGTGGCAAAGGTGAGAAAGGTCATTACTACTAAGGAGGGACTGCCCAGGACCCTTCCTGGAATTTTGAATCTGGAATGGGTCAGGAAGGGCTCGTTTATCCTCTTGCACTCCTCTTGATTGGCAGTATACAGTCCAAGACGATAGGGAGATGGTTACACTGCTACGGAATCAAGTAGAAGTCAAATATTGGTGTACCTGGAATCCAAGCCTCAAACTACTTTCATCCTCAAGACATCCAAAAGGAATCTAAAAGGCTCTAGTTCCAATAGAGGCCACCTGGCATCTTGGAAATAGCACCAGCTTTGCCACTGGCTCAGATCACTGCCCCAAAACGACTTGTATTCCCATTGGTCGAGAAATTTAACCTCTAAGCCTCAATTTATTAATTTGTAAAACTGAGATAGTAATGCTCACCTTTCAGGGTTATTATAAAGATTAGGAATAATACTAAAAAAATCACTGGCCCAAGTTTCACACATCCTAGGTCCTGTTGTAGAATATGGGTGAACTTACCAAAGAATTTGTTCACTGTGATGGGCACTTGCTGAAGGACCCTGCAGACTGAATGAGAAAGGATGACAGGGAGCACCTGGAAGAAGTTTCTGAGAGTTATAAACAAGAATCAATATCATGAAGCAACAACAGATAGGTCACTACTCATCTCATTCCATAGGGTATACCTTTGTCATGTTAATCTGCCTCTGAACTGTCGACAAGAGTCTAACACCATGCCAAGTGTCTGGTATTTCCTGAGGAAATGACTCCCCTAGATTATGTCAGTGACAAGTAAACGAGACAACTATTGTAGATGAAGGAAGTCTCCTTGATCTATTTTGACACATGGCTCAAGTCATTTATTTTCAACAAGCATTTGGTGAGCCTCTTTTATGCATAGGGCAGTACTGATTATCTATGAGACACTGGAGTGGGATTTGGATGCTATCAAACCCCTAGGGCTTGAGGCGGGCGTTACACATCCCTGAGCAAACACTATCCACCACTTTCAGGCAATGGAGGCAAGGGTTCAAATGTTTTGACATTATTTATAAATTCAGATAACACTGGAAGAAAGAAGTTATGTTTCTGAATATCCATAAACTGGTTTTGCTTTGTGGAAAATTGCTACTTATTTCTTGCCTACTGCTTGGTAAATCAGGAAAGTATTTCATACTGACTATTGAGTCCTGGATATGCGTGTCTGCTATAGCTTTGAATTTAGTGTTCCTAGAGTCAAATGAGACAGATTAGATTCATTCATTCATTTATTCATTCCTGAGGACCTTGGCTTCTGAATGGTAATTTTAATTCCTGCTCCAACTCTTAGGTGGCATTGATGTCTGAACTTTTCAGTTCTGTAACCTTCTTAACTCCAATGACCTTCACATCCACTAAGCTTCAACCACACACTCTCATGGTAATACCAAGAATCCTAAGATAAGCCACCTCTAAAATCCTATTCCCTAACTACAAAATTAAAGCGTACTCTCCCTGACCCTGTCTGCATTAATCCTTTGACCTCATCATTCTACTCTCTCTTGACACCTCCCTACTTTCTGCCTGTCCTCCTGGGACCCTATTATACATCCCTTCAGCTATCTTCCTTATCTTTAATCCCATCAACCCATCTTGTAAAATCCAAAACCTAGATCCCTCTAAACTTCTCTTTCTTCCTGCCAAGGTGCAATGGAACACTACTGGAGAAAGTTCTGCAGTTCTTATCATTCATGCCACTCAACAGGGTACTCACTAATATTCAATGGTCCTATTAAATGTTCTTGGTAAATATTCTTTTACTCCAAATCTTCACAAACTCCTCAATAAAGTCTGCCTCTCCTTCTAAAATGTCTGCTCCTCAAGGGTAAGAAGCATAATTATATCCACATGGATACTGTCCAATTCCTCCAGCCCCAGGGCCTAGCTTAGTACCAGGCACATTTGAGATAATCAATAAACATTTGATGAATGAGTGAAGACCTACACCACTCCTAAACCTTTCAAAGGATAATTCCTCCTGTCCTACAAATAAAACCAAGAGATTCGTTACAACTATTTCACCTGTTCCCATACCATGGCAATCGTCGCAATCCATTATCACCAGATTTTATCCACTTTCCCAAAGTTAATTCTCTTTTTTTATGTAAATCTCCAATCTGCCTTCAAGTTTTCATTATTATTATATAAGTTTCAGGTGTACAGCATTATAATTCAACATCTGTATACACTACAAAATGCCCACCACTACCAGTCTAGTTATCAGCCATCATATAATTGACCCCCTTTACCCTCTTTACATAACCCCCAACCCCAACCACTAATCTATTCTCTGTACCTATGAGTTTATTTTTATATTGTTTGTTCATTTATTTTTAGATTCCACATATGGGTGATATCATACAGTATTTGTCTTTCTCCATCTGACATTTCATTTAACGTAATGCCCTCAATGTCCATCTATGTTGTCGCAAATGGCAAGATTTCATTCTTCTTTATGGATCAGTAGTATTCCATTGTATGTATATACCACACATTCTTTATTCATTCATCCATTAATGGACACTCAGGTTGTTTCCATGTCTTGACTATTGCAAATAATACTGCAATGAACATAGGAGTGCATATATCTTTTTGAATTAGTGTTTTGTATTCTTCAGATAAATACCCAAAAGCGAAATAGCTGGATCATAAGGTAGTTCTATTCATAATTTTTTGAGGAGTCTCCGTACTGTTTTCCATGATGGCTTCACCAATTTACAGTCCCATCAACAATCTAAGATGATTCGCTTTTCTCCACATCCTTGCCAACACTTGTTAATTCTCGTCTTTTTGATAATGGCCATTTTAACATGTATGAGGTGATATCTCATTGTGGTTGTGATTTGGATTTCCGTGATAATTAATGATTTTGAACATCTTTTCATGTGCCTGTTGGCCACCTGTATGTCTTTGGGAAAATGTTGATTCTTGTCCTGTCCCCAGTTTTTAATCGCATTGTTTGTTTTTGTTGTTGAGTTGTATGAGTTCCTTATATAATTTGAATATTAACCCCTTATCAGATAGATGGTTTGCAAATATCTTCTCCCATTCAGTAGATTGCCTTTTCATTTTGATGATGGTTTCCTTTGCTGTGCAGAATCCTTTTGGTCTGATGTAGTCCGACTTGTTTATTTTTTCTTTTGTTTCCCTTGCATTTTGGGTCACATGCAAAAATACATCACTAAGATGGATGTCAAGGGCCTTACTGCCTAAGATCTCCTCTAGGAATTTTATGGTCTCAGGTCTTACATTGAGGTCTTTAACCCATTTTGAGTTAATTTTTGTGTATGGTGAGATAGGGTCTAGTTTCATTCTTTTGTGTGTGGCTGTTTGGTTTTCCCAATGCTATTTATTAAAGAGAATATCATTTCTCCATTGTATGTTCTTGGCTCCTTTGTCATAGAATAATTGTCCATATGAGTGTAGGTTTATGTCTGGGCTCCTAATTCTCTTCCATTCGTCTGTGTATCTGCTTTTGTACCAGTACCATATTGCTTTGATTGGTATAGCTTTGCAGTATAGTCTGAAATCGTGAAGGGTGATACCTCCAGCTTTGTTCTTCTTTCTCAATATTTCTTTGGCTATTCAAGATCTTTTGTGGTTCATTACAAATTTTGGAAGTATTTGTTCTAGTTCTGTGAAGTATATCATTGGAATTTTGATAGGGATTGCATTGAACCTGAATCTGTAAATTGATTTGGGTAGTACAGACATTTTAACAACATTAATTCTTCCAATCTGTGAGCACAGACTATCTTTCCATTTATTTGTGTCTTTTTCCATTTCTTTCATCAATATCTTACGGTTTTCAGTGTACAGGCCTTTACCTCCTTGGTTAACTTTATTCGTAGGTATTTTATTCTTTTTGATGCTATTGTAAGTGGAATTGTTTTCCTAATCTCTCTTTCTGATAGTTTGTTATCAATTTATAAAACACCACAGATTTCTGTATATTGATTTCGTATCTGAAACTTTACTGAATTTATTCATTGGTTCTAACAGTCTTTTGATGGAGTCTTTAGGATTTTCTCTACATAATGTCATTCGTCTGCAAATACTAAGTTTTACATCTTCTTTTCCATATTAGATGAGCTTTATTTCTTTTTCTTGCCTAATCGTTCTAGTTAAGACTTCCAATACCATGTTGAATACGAGTGGCAAAAGTTAGACATCCTTGTCTTATTTCTGATCTTAAAGGAAAAGCTTTCGATCTTTCACCATTGAGTATGATGTTAGCTGTAGGTTTGTCATATATGGCCTTTATTATGTTGAGGTATGTCCCCTCTATACCTACTTCGTTGAGGGTTTTTATCATAAATTGATGTATTTTGTCAAAAGCTTTTTCTGTATCTATTGGGAGGTTCATAAAAATTTTACCCTTCATTTTCTTAATGTGAAATATCACATTAATTGATCTGCAAATGTTGAACCATCCTTACATCCCTGGAATAAATCCCACTTGATCATGGCGTATAATCTTTTGAATATATTGTTGGATTCCATTTGCTAATATTTTGTTGAGGATTTTTGCATCTATTTTCGCCAAGAACATTGACCTATAATTTTTTGTGTGTGTATGGTGTCCTTGTCTGGTTTTGATATTAGGATAATGCTGGCCTTATAAAATGTGTTGGAAAGATTTCCTTCCTCTTCAATTTTTTGGAAGAGTTTGAAAAGGATAAGAATTAAATCTTCTTTGAATGTTTCGTAGAATTCACCAGTGAAGCTGTCTGGTCCTGGACTTTTGTTTGTTGGGAGGTTTTTGATTGTTGTTTTAATCTCCTTACTGGTAATCAGTTCATTCTGATTTTCTATTTCATTATGACTCAGTATTGGAAGATTGAATGTTTCTAGGAATTTATCTGTTTCTTCTAGATTGTCCAATTTGTTAGTGTATAATTGTTTGTAGTAGTCTCTTATGATCTTTTCTATTTCTGTGGTATCAGTTGTAGTTTCTCTTTCATTTCTTTCCTTTTTTATTTGCTGAGGAAGATACACCCTGAGCTAACACACATTGCCAATCCTCTTTTTTCTTTTTGCTTGAGGAAGATCGTCCCTGGGCTATCATCTGTGCCAATCTTCCTCTATTTTGTAAATGGGATGCCTGCACAGCATGGCTTGATGAGCAGTGGGTAGGTATGCATCTGGGATCTGAACCCACAAACCCTGGACCACAGAAGTGGAGCATGCAAACTTAACCACTGTACCACCGGGCCAGCCCCTCCTCTAGTTTTTTTGTATGTAGGACACCACCACAACATGGCTGGTGAGTGGAGTAGGTCTGCACCCAGGATCTGATCCCATGAACCCAGGCCGCCGAAGCAGAGCACATGGAACTTTAACCGCTCAGCCATGGGGCCAGGCTCATCTTTCATTTCTAATTTTATTTATTAGAGCTCTTTCTCTTTTTTTCTTGATTAGTCTAGCTAAAGTTTCATTGATTTTGTTAATCTTTCCAAAGAATCAGTTCTTAGTTTTATTAATCTTTTCTTTTGTTTTTTTAGTCTGTATTTCATTTATTTCCACTCTGATCTTTATTATTTCCCTCCTTCTACT